CTGAGGTGGAAGGATCGCCTGAGCCCAGCAGGTCGAGGCTGAGGTGGCCATGAGCATGTCACTTCCCTCCAGCCTGGGTGAGAAAGTGAGATTCCTACTCAAGAAAAAAAAAAAAATGCCGGGTGCGGTGGTTCAAGCCTGTAATCCCAGCACTTTGGGAGGCTGAGGTGAGAGGATTGCCTGAGCTCAGGGGTTCGAGACCAGCCTGAGCAACAGGGCAAGACCTCATCTCTACAAAAAGTCAAAAAAATCAGCCAGGCGTGGTGGCACATGTCTGTGGTTCCAGCTTGGAAGACTGAAGCAGAAGGATTACCTGAGCCGAGCAGGTAATGCCACTGCACTCCCAGCCTGGACACAGTGAGACTCCGGCTCAAAAAAACAAACAAAAACGGGCTCCCCAGGTAAATCTGAACTTCAGATAGTCAAATGAGCCTCATCTTAACTTGATTATACCTGCAAAGATCCTATTTCTAAATAAGGTCACATTCACAAATGCCAGGACTTAAGACTTTCAACATATCTTTTGGGGGGACAAAATTCAACTCATAAACACCCATTAAAGGAGGTTCTTGGAACTACCTCAGTTTACCATTCTGGAGAGAGATGGGAGCAAGCCCCAAAGTGTGTCCAGGTTGTGCACTCTGCACAGGTGGGTTCCCCACTCACCAATCTGGAGAACATTTCTTGACAGCCCTATTTTAAAAATGACGTTATTCCTGCGCCCCCTAGAGGTGACAGCACCCATGAAGGTGTTTCATTGTTGGATCCCATCAACCCCCCAGGCACTCGGGGGGGGTATCTTAGGGCCATCTGCTGGGCCCAGGCCAGAGTCTCCTGAATGGGCCAAATATCTGGGCACAGAAATCACTTAACTTGCATAATCTAGCACACTGTGCCAGGCAGTGAGAATTGGTACAGGTAAGGCCTCTGTCCTCTGGAAGTCCCCAGGCTCCTGGGGGAGGGAGAGACACAGCTGATTTCTAGGATCATGAGCAGCACCAAAGGGAACATCACTTTGGGAGCTGGGGGCAAAGGGATTGAGCCCAGGCAGGCATCAGGGGTGGCTTCCCCCGAGGCAAGGGCCTTTCAGCAGGGAGCCGAAAGACTGTAGGCTCGATCCAAGGGAAATGCATGCGAGGAGACCTGTAGCAAGCACAGCCCTCTCGACACTAGAGTGGGGTGGGAGGGCTGCAGCCAGCCAGGTAGTATACAGCCTGGAGGGCTGAGTGTCTCTCCTCGCTGGACCTCTGGGTGACTTTTTTGGAACAGGTAAACATTATGCACAAGCCCTTTGAAATCTGGGGCCCTCGGCCTTGCTGGGCGGGTCTACCAGAGCCACCTATTTCCTCAGAGGACACCGAGGGTGGAAAAAGCCATTCCCACAGTCCCTCAGTTTCAGAGCCAGGCTGTGTGTGTTGGGGGGGCGGCTTGGAAGCAGCGGGCAACAGCAGGACCAACGGGTGCATCCAGAGGCCCAACCGGTCAGAAGCCGGGGCATTCTGAGATGGCTGAGGTAGGTTCCTCCCTCTCCATTCGTCCAGCAGGCAGCCTTGTCTGCTCTTCTGAGGGGGGGAAGTTGCTTCGGCTCCATTCCTCCCTCTCCCACTTGCCCGTCCCCCATCCGTGTGCCTGACCCAGCACGTGGCCCACAGCAAGCACAGCTGAGGTGGTTGGCAGTAGTTTACATTCAATCAGGGAAGGCTTACTCTGTGTCAGGAGTGTGCTAAGAGCTTTGCATGGACCAGTCATCCAATCCTCACAGCACCCTGTGAGGTGGGTAGTATTACAGAGGGGGAAACTGAGCCACTGCAGGTGACCTCACTGGCCAGAGGTCATCTCATATGTCTTTGCATCCCCCAGGGCTGAGTCCAATTAGTGTCTACACTCAAAGTCAGAGCTAATGAATGACAGATGTGATTGTCTCCAAAGATAGGCACCATGGATGCATGCCCTTCCTGGGTGCGGCCGCTCCCCCACTGAGAGATAATTTATTCTCTCTCCCCTAGAGTCTGGGCTGCCCCAAAGCCTGCTACAACAAATAGATGCAAAAATACATCACTTAGTCAGGCATTGTGGCACATACCTGTAATCCCAGCTTCTCTGGAGGCTGAAGCAGGAGGACTGTTGAGCTCTGGAGTTCAAGTCCCGCCGGGGTAACATAATTTTATAAAAGAGGAAACAAAAAAAAAAATTTTTTTTTAGACCACCCTGCTGAACTGAGCACAGGGAGCACAAAAGCACGGCCAGGACAAGGAAACAAAATTTTTAAAAAGAGGAAACAAAAAAATGCATCGCTTGTGACAGAAGTGACATTCTGGAACTTCTGAGCTCTGGCCTTAAAAGGATTAACGAATCAGAGTGGCAGCTCACACTTGCAGACCCAGCTACTTGGGAGGCTGGGATTGGGAGAGAAAAGAAAAAAACAAAAACAAAAAAACTGTGCTAATCCTCAATGTGAAAAGCAGTCCAATTTTGTGGCAGAGAGGAGCTAAAAACAGTTTAAATTATTCCTTTTAAAAATCAAGCTGCAAGCTCCAAAACCTGCAAGACATGGGTCTTGAGAAAACCAAACAGCCAAAGGTCACTTTCCTGGAAATGCAAGATAGTAATCCATTCACATCCTTACCCCCACATCCTCTCTTTGTGAAGTTATTGGTTTGCAACCCCTGCTTGTCATGTAAACCCTGGAGATAATTCGTTCTTTGAAAAATCTGGTTTTGCTAAATACCACCTTACCAATTCCAAAGAAAAATGTATAGCCATACAACCCGACCCCTCCCTTACCTAAACTAACAGATAAAACCCCTCTCCTCTTTCTCCAAGTTGCTCAGCCTTGGAGCATTAGCCTACTGAGTCACGCCGGAAACCGCTACTTCCTAAAATAGCCTCGGTGCCTAAAATAGCCTCGGTGCCTAAAATAGCCTCGGTGTCACCGTTTCTCTGTTTTCCCGCAACAATTTAACGTCTAAAAACGTGGCCATCCATATACTCTCCAAAAGGTCTCAAGTTGCACTGACACCCCTGTGAACAACAGCCTTGCTTTATAGCTTTCCTGGTGGCTGCGACACTTGATCAAAGGGCAAAGTGTTAGGTTGCTACTATACCACAGAAAAAGGGTCAAGCTGGCATTTCACTCCCTTGTTAGCGTTACCAGTGGATAATGGAGAAGCCTGTTCAATTTTTCATGACTGCAGTGCTGTGGCTAATGGCTAACTCTTCCATTTTGTGGATGAGAAAACTGAGACTAAATGCAGACTGAAGGGATACGTTTACCCAGCATCACTAAAGTGCTACTTACTCCATGCAAATAACCACCAGCCCCCAAACCTACAGGAAAGGTGTGTGAATTGCTTATGGCCTCCCTCCCTTGTCAGGTGTCAGTGAACTATTATCACTAAGTAACAAACCACCCTCAGGTCCTAGCTCACAGCAAAGATTTACCTTCTTGAGACTGTGGTAGGCTGGCAGTTCCTCTGCTGTCCATGCCTGGGCTCACGCTTGCAGCTGTGGCCAGGTGAGGGGTCGGCTGGGCTGGAAGGTCCATGATGGTGCCCTGACGTGCCCTGGCTGTTAGCTGGGACAACACCTCGTGGCTCCTCATCCTTCAGGGATAGGCTGCCTTCCTTACATGGTGCTCCCAGGACAGAGTTCTAAGACAGCGGAGGCATAAGTTACAGGGTCTCTTGGGGACTTAAGCTTCAGAGCTTACATAACATCACTTTTGTTGCATTCTTTGGTCAAAGCAAGCAGCATGGTCAGCCTGTACCAAAGAGCGGGGGGG